ATATATGTACGAGTAAAAGTCAGTCTTACCGTTAGTAGGCCTCATTCACGAAGCTGGTCTATAAGAGGTGTTTAAGGAAATTGCCTATAAAATGGCGATTGAATGGTATCCACTCTTACACACCACACTCTTGACTAGTGGAGGGTCGTTAGCCGAACGGGTAGGATGTAACACCCCCTCTGGCACGTATCACAATATTGTCCGCTTTGGGCCACTCGGCACGAGGACTTCCCAGGGGGTCACCCATCCCGGTACTACTCCCGCCCGAACACGCTTAACTATAGAGTTCTTATGGGATCTGCTGCCCTCACGGATTTAAAACGCGTTGTGATAGGGAAGGTATCCACACACCTTATAAGGAATGCTTAGTTCTCCTTCCCAGCCGATGTGGGTTCAGGTGCAACCCACCTTCACCCCCCATTATAGGGTTCGACGTCCCTGTCGAACACATCGACCCGTGCCCTAGCTCTGATACCATTTGTAACACCCCCTCTGGCACGTATCACAATATTGTCCGCTTTGAGCCACTCGGCACGAGGACTTCCCAGGGGGTCACCCATCCCGGTACGACGAGCGCTTGAACTATGTGGAAAGACCTGTAGCCATTTTGGAAAGAAAGATGAAGATTCTGTGGAACAAGGGGATACATTTGGTAAAGGTACAGTGGGAACATCATAAGGGGTCGGAGTGGACATGGGAGCCGGAGGCGGAGATGCGCGAGCACTACCTGACATTGTTCATCCCAGCGGACTTCGAGGATGAAGTCTAGTCCAAGGGGGGAGAGTTGTAACGCCCCAATTCTCAGGTATTGTCTGATTGTAGTTTCTTGGTTTGGCCCTACTTGACGAGTTGGTTACCTTACTTGTCGAGTAGCAGCGAGATTGAATTTGCAACTTAAGTGACTGACTCAGCGAGTCCACGAGTGGGACTCGGTGAGTAGGAGCTGGCAAAAGAAACCCTAAGTCCCGGGTTCTACACTCTATTTAAGGAGGCTTAAGCCCCATTTGGCCTCCTTACATTCAGATAGAACTCAAAGGAAAACCCTAACCGGGTATTTGTGTCATTAGTGCCTTGAAAGCTTGAAAGGAGAACTTGTGGAAGGAAGAACTTGGAGAAGCAAAGGATTAGAAACAAGGGAGGAGTGGAACCTGAAATCTACCTCAGCTAACACTCATAGAAGGTACCAAGTCGACACCTTTATCCGTTTTCCCTTCTAGATCTCATATAGTGGAAGTATAGGGTTTTTGAGGTGTAAGTAAGGTGATATTGCAAAACATAAGCTAGATCTGAAGTTGTAACTTCAGATCTGGACCATTCCCGAGTTCTAGATCCATAAAGTTCCTATCTTGGACGTGAATAAGGCCTTCCTTGTGCATGAAACCCATTAAGAGCTTAGCTTTGGACATTAAGGACCTTTTTAGCCATGAATACACGTAAAGTTTGCAACTTTACGTGAAAGGCATGCGTTGGAAGCTTGGATCTAAGGTTTGGAGTTGTTGCATGGCTTAAAACAGATCTGTATGGATTAAGAACTAAAGGAACTCGGCGAGTCGCAAGAACGACTCGGCGAGTCGGATTAATATAGTCGAGAACTCGACGAGTTGGTAGAACAACTCGGCGAGTCCGATGAAGGTTGCCTTAGACTCGACGAGTTGCATGAGCAACTCGGCGAATCGGATGAGTTTCCTCCAAGTTAGGAATGCGTGTGTATCAACATACTACTAGAAGAGAAACATGGTGAGTGGCTCTAGGGCCTCAATCGAGAGCCGTGGGAACTCAGCGAGTCACGCTGGTGACTCGACGAGTAGGTAAAAGTTTTGAGGAACTCGGCGAGCAGCCGGGGGTACTCGACGAGTTAGGTCAACATGGACTGTTGACCTTGACTAAGGACTTTAACCTTGATCAGGGTTAACTAGTTGGGTTATGGAGTACTCTATGAGGATAGAGACTTATGAGCATAATCGTATTATGGTAATAGGTGGTGGAGTCTTCGACAAGTGATCTGAGAGTTATGGTTCCTTACCGAACCGACATCTACAAGGTGAGTTATCCTCACTATACTAAGGGGTCTAAGGCACCAAGGCCACCCCATTGGATTTGATATCCTAGTAGTCATTGATATGTTGAGTTGAGTTAGTAATGTATGCCAGATGATATGCTAGTCGGGTAGATCTGTAGGACTGCCTGTGATTCTGATTGATCACCTGCATATGCATTTATCAGTTACATGTCGACAGGTTATGTGGGGTGGGTTAAGGTTGTACTGCTCTGTGCGGTAGCCAACAAACCCGAGAGTATTCCAGATATGAGTTGAGGGCCCGGTATGCATTCCAGACTCATACTGAGGACTCGACAGCATTCCAGATACGAGCTAAGGGCCCGGTAGGCATTCTAGACTTGTACTGAGGGCTCAATGGCATTCCAGATACGAGCTGAGGGCCCAGTAGGCATTCCAGATTCGTACTGAGGGCCCAGGGGTAGTCCAGCTTGTAAAGCTGTGGACCCAGTGCATGCTGTTCTGTTTTGATTGATATGATATGCTAATGTTGATAATGTTATGTGAACTGTATATGTATCGGTATTTTGGGGTAACTCACTAAGCTTTCGGGATTACAGTTTCAATTTATTGTTTCAGGTACATCTGGGGATCGCGGCAAGGCCAAGACGTGATCGTACAGCTCCTCCTATTATGTTATTTTGGTGACAAGACTCTGATAAACAATGTTTTGAAAACAAAGTTGTAATATTTTGATGAACTTGATATGTTTCTAAAAGGTTAAATTTGTTTGAAATTTTGGATGTTACAAGTTGGTATCAGAGCCTCAGTTTGAGTGAATTGGAGAAACATTCGTGTGAATCCAGTCTCAAATCAAGGAACGTTTTTCAAAAAAAAAAAAAGGTTTTGATTGCGTTATGTTACAAGTTGCCCTAAGATTTTTTTTTTTTCATCTTATATGTATAATTAATACAAAAGCATGGTTTTGATTGCGTTATTGGGGTTTTTAGGTTACAATCAATTTGTATATGCAGAATTTCACTTAAGTCTTAAGGGTAGATTCAACCTAGATTGGATCCATGTCTTTTCTCAATTAATAACAACATACTTATGAAACAAAACTATAAACCCTATGAATCAAATTTATGAACAGAACCACATACCTTATAGCTTATGTCGAATTAAGCTAATAAAAAACTCTTGATAATCTCCTTGACAAACTAACTCCAAAATAATGGCCGCCTCTAATGTGTCACACCCAAAACTCAAGAAACCGAGGATTGAAATAGAGATGGGAGAGGATGAGAATTTTTAGAATTTTGTTAAATTATTGAATAATTGCAGTTCAACCCTTGCATTATTAATTAATTCTAATCAACTTAAAATTAATTTTAAATTAATTCTGATTAATTCTTAATTAATTATTAGTATTTCTAATTAATATATTAATCCTATAGTATATTAATAAATTATTTATCTCTCTCCTTTGATAATCCAAACAATTTCCTGGTTATGAAGGCAACCTAAAAAAGACTTTACATTTATTCATCAACATTATAGCAATTTAGTTAGGATCTTAAACACATTAATTCTAAGACACTGCCAGGTTACCTATGGTTTATCTTCTTTTTCTTCTAACTTCTCTAATGTATATTGATGAATATTGTGATTTTTTATAATACATGAATAAAATGGTCATTTAATCTAAATTGCAATGCAATTGATGGTTTTATTGCTCATGTAGTTGACATAACATAGATTTGTAGATTTAGATTCTAAATAAATAACTATGAAAATTGATAATTATTGTTTTCGTTATCCGATCTCGAACGAATTTAGCTTATAACCATATTGGTATATGTGTTGTGACTTGTGAGTCAAATAATTCATTTGTTTTTTTATCATTGTAACTTTTTTTTTTTTTCTTTCAATTTTATAATGTATATTTGTATAATTATTTTTGTAATTTGTTATGTGTTCATTGATTTTGTATATACCGGTGTGTATTGATTTATTTATAACTAACCATAGTCATAAAATATTTTGGTGAACAATAGATAGTTAAAAACTTTATTTTGATATGATTACAAAACAAAAAATATACAAAATAATTTTAATTTCACTACATTTCCCGACATTCGTTTGACACATTTCAATTCCTTTGTCTTTAACATCTTTTAAAATTCATATTTCTTTGACATATTATAAATCGTCAAATCTTTACAAAGTGAACCAAACATTCCATAAATGGTCTTGGATAACGATACACATACAACAAACATAGAAACGATTAATATATTAAAACACATGTCCGACAAACATCTTTTTTTTTTTTTTTTTAATTTCTTCACTCTCGATCAATATACTGAAAATACACATCCTACTAACATAAAACCATCCAATAAAAATTTACGTTCAGTGCATGTTTTCTAAAATATGACATGTCTCCGAGAAAAAAAAAACTGTTCACCATCAATATTTTGCATGGATACCATTACCATACAAGATGGAAAAGTATCTCATATTGATGTCATATTTTAGTACAATGGATCCAATTAACGGAAGAGAAAACACAGATAACACAAACAAAAACAATAAATACACTAAAATGCATGTCTAATAAACATAAATACTATTTCAAAATATTAACCTTCGATCAACCAATATATTATGTGTTTTTTGTAACATGTTTTCAAAGAATAAATTAGTCGTCGTTGCCTTTTGCTCAGGTAGACTGCTACTAATAATAAAACAACATTCAACCAAAAAATACAACAAAATTAATTACAGTAAAATAATAAAATATAAATATAAAAATAATTCTTTTAAAGAAACCTTAAAATTTTGATCCTTATTTGTGAAAAAAATCACGTAAATCGGTCCACCAACTATTTGAGATCAAAATCCAGTTATACCAATTTTGTAATGATTATTTTCTATTAAAAAAACAAGCTCACGAGTTATGTTATTTTCTATTAAAAAAATAAACTCATGGTTGTCATTCATGGTTATAAATTTCCATCAAACACAAACATTTGCATAATCCAAACCCACTAATTCAAACAAACGCCAGAACTAGTATGCTAACCGTTCTCGAGAATACCCGAGTATCTCCGCCACCTGGCACCGTTGGGGAGAAGTCTCTCCCGCTCACTTTCTTGGACATGATTTGGCTATCCTACATCCCAATCCACCAGGTTTTCTTTTATGAATCCACCCACTCTAAACAACATTTCATGGAAACAATTATACCGAACCTCAAAAACTCATTATCAATCACTCTTCAACACTTCTTCCCATTTGCAGGCAACATAATTCTGTTTCCTAATCCAAGTGTTGAGAAAAAACCAGAAATCCGTCATGTAGAAGGCGACTCTGTTGCAGTTACCTTTGTCGAGTGTACTCTTGATTTCAATCATCTTACAGGAAATCATCCTCGTAAGTGTGACATGTTTTATCCGCTTGTACCTCTATTGGGACGTGCACAACAAGTATCCGATTACCTTATTATCCCACTTTTTTCTGCGCAAGTTACACTTTTTCCTAACTCCGGCTTCTCTATTGGAATCACCAACCACCACTCTCTTTGTGACGCGAGCACAAGGTATCATTTCCTCAAGGCATGGAGCTCGATTGCTAAACATGGTACAGATGAGTTTTTCTTAGCTAGTGGATCTTTACCTTTTTATGAAAGAGCGATTAAATACCCGAGCTCCTTAGATGAAATCTCGTTAAATATTCCCGGTATTCCAGCTATTAATATGGAATACCAGCCTCCTCACCTTGTTGGCCCTTCAGATAAAGTTCGTGCCACCATTGTCTTGACCCAAGCACGCATCAATGGGCTAAAGAAATGGCTATCCACTCAACTGCCAAATCTGGAATACATATCATCTTTTTCGGTGGCATGTGCTTATATGTGGTATTGCATAGCCAAATCACATGTTAATATTGGAGAAAGGAAGGGAGAGGATGACCTAGAAAGGTTTACTTGTATGGTGGATTGGAGAACCCGGTTCGATCCACCTGTTCCTGAAACTTATTTTGGTAACTGTGTAGGGGCTTCTTTCACATCAAAAATAAAAAGCACCATCTTAGCAGGCGACAATGGTTTTGTTACTGCTTTTGAATTATTTGGAAAGGCTTTAAGCGAAACACTTAAGAAGAAGAATGGAGTGATTGTAGATGGGGAGACGGTGATTAAGACAGCCTTTTTGCCAGTGCCGGGGCTTACTGTGTCGGGATCACCGAAGATTAAGTTCTACGATTTGGATTTTGGATGGGGTAAGCCAAAAAGACATGAGACAATATCTCTCGATTACCATAGTTCGATTTCTGTTAATGCTTCAAAAGAGTCGGATGCTGATATTGAAATTGGGGTGTCCCTTCCTCCAAAACAAATGGATGTGTTGCTTTCCATCTTTAGTGAAGAATTGGAGCGCACATTACAGTGAGCAAGGGAGTCTTTTGTTAAAATATTTTTAATGTGGATCTATCAACACGTACAACAGTTATTTGTGTCAAAAGGCATGTGTATGTTATATATGTTATCAATAAAATGTCACTTTCTTAGAGCATTCTCAATATATTAAAATATATTAAACTTTAAGAGTTTAATGGATTGCTATATGATTTTAAACTATCACTATTTTATCTGTTAAACTTTACATTCTATTAAATTTTTAAGAGTTTAATGAATTTCCACATCAATATTTAATTGTATCTTTTTATAAATAGTATTGTAAAACTATAATATTATACTAATTAGAAATTAAAAGTAACAAATTATTAATTATTAATTAAAGATTGTTGTATATGTTATTGTTTTAAAATATTTTTAAGATTTAAATATTTTTTTGTTTAGAATATTATAATATAATTTAACTTGATGATTTAAATTATTGAATATAAGAATAATTTACAAATATTATAGCTGAGAAAATAATGACATATATCTTGTGCATGTATATAGAGTGTAATTATTTAAATACAAAGTTTTATTGGTGAAATGATTTAAAAAAAAAAATGCATACCAAAGTTCAATGGGGATTAAACTCCACTTCATTGAACTATTGTGGATGGGTTTATGTATTTAACTCATTTTTTTCCTGTTAAACTCACAATTAAATGTTCATTGGGATGCCTTATCAACATTGAAAATGTGCATATTAAAATATGATTCTTCGTATCCAAAGGAGGCGAAGAGACTGTTCCACTATAATGTGGAGTTTTGTAACAAGGTATAGTACATTTAAAAAGTATTTACCAAATGATAGTGGTTTAAAACTTAATTACCAGTTGTAGTGATTCCTAGTTTGCAACATCTTTCCCTTCGCTATCAATAATGCTGGCTACCAGGCTACAGAATTTTTTATTTTTTTTTCCAGTGACCAATTTTTTCCCTCAGCCAAACCAAAATACAATAAAAGAAAACTCAAAGTTAAATCTAAAAACTATATATGCATATTTTAAACAAAAGCAAAGCCAAATGGAAACTGTCAAACCAGTAGAAAGGGATCGATCATTTGTTTACGCCATCAAATTGTCATTAAGGGCTACAGTTTTCTATTCATTCTTGACTGAAATTGAATAAGACTCGTAAATATCTTGTGGAACTAATTCTCAGAGGTTTAACACACAATAACAGATTGGGGAACCAAAATCCGAACACATAGGTAATTTTTTAGATTCGGATTCGGATATATAGTGATTTAAAAAATATCAAGATAGTTGGATATCCGATAATACTAAACTAAAAAACGACCCTACCCCACCCCATAGATCATATTCATTATTGTCCAATTTCATCCGCCGCCACCTCATCTCCGACCACCAACACTTCGGCCACCCTCAACTTTCATAACCTAGTCAAACTTACTACCTCTTAACCCTCATAATAATAAATTGAACATCTGGAACACGTCAAAGTTGAAGCAAACTCCAGGGTTTGAATATGTACAACACCTCAATAAATTTAAAGAGTAATGACGATTTACACCTTACGTTTTCAATAAATTATATAATTCTTTAATAAAAAAAAATTAAAAATAGCATCCATCCCACGGTAGCACCAGTAACCATGGCTTCTTCTCTTTTCTTAATGCTTTTCTGATTCATTTTCATATCATTCGCCATCTCAGACGCTGTTGTTCCACCCACCGACACTTGTCGGTATGTCAACCAAGGCGATTTAGGAGAAGCCAACTCCAAATACGCCCCAAACTATCATCCTCTTCCTCCATTCACATTTCCTTTCCAGCTATGTTTCTACAATACGACACCCGGTGTCTACACTCTCAGTCTCCGCATGGGGGTCCGAAATGACGAATACATGATGCGATGGGTATGGGAAGCAAACAGAGGCAACCCTGTTGGCGAAAATGCCACATTCTGATTGGGCTCCGACGGCAACCTTGTACTGGCCGAAAGAGATGGCCGGATCGCATGGCAAACCAACATCGCCAACAAGGATGTCGTCTGTTTTGCCATACTCTCCGATGGTAACATGGTGCTTCGTGACTCCAAGGGTGGTTTCGTATGGCAAAGCTTTGATTCACCTACTGATACGCTCTTGTTTGGTCAATCTCTCCGGATCCGAGGTCCGACGAAGCTCGTAGCTTCAACGACGAACAACGTTAACGGAGTGTATAGTCTTGTGATAGAGCCAGAAAGATTGGGTTTGTATTATAAGAACATGCTTTACTGGTCATCCACGTTCCCGGAAGTGAGCCAACAAAATGTGACTATTGTTAATGCAACATTCGGAATTGTGGAAACCAAATACAATAACGACTTTAATGCACTGAGGGTTCAACTTTCAAACTCTGATGCTCAACCTTATGTGGACTTGGACTTACTCCGATTCAATAACACGTTATCGTATATCCGATTAGGTATCGACGGGAACTTACGAATCTACTCTTATCGTCCGAATGTGGCTTTTGGCATGTGGAGTCTGGTGTTCACTTTATTCGATAAAAAGGAGAACACGAGGGGGGATATATATGAAGACGAGTGCCAACTGCCTGAACGATGCGGCATGTTTGGGCTGTGTGAGGATAGCCAGTGTGTTGGGTGTCCGACGCCGGAGGGTGTTTTTGCGTGGAGCACAAAATGCAACGTGAAGTCGTCGTCTTGTAAAGCGGGTGGTTCTCGTTACTACCAGCTGAAAGGAGTCGACCATTTCACTTCTAAATACTCTCCGGGGACTGGGCCGGTGAAGCAGAAAGATTGCGAAAGTAAATGCACAAAGGATTGTAAGTGTATGGGGTATTTCTATCGCACTGATCTATCGAGGTGTTGGATGGCTAACGAGTTGAAAACGTTGACGAGGGTCGGGAACTCGACTCACTTGGCCTACGTCAAAACACCCCTCTAGTATTATTAAGAAATTACATACAAACGTTGACGAGGTTTTGTATTTATTTAATATTGTTTAACTAATTTAAAATAGTATTATTAACAAATTAAAAAGTCATGAGAGTTTTCAAATGAATGTGGTAAAAGAAAAAATATTTCTATTATAATGCAAAACTAAACGAATACCCACATGTTGCGTATAATGCAACAATATATTTGAAATCTTTATATTTGTATATATATATATATATATATATATATATATATATATATATATATATATATATATATATATATATATCAATGATATTATTTGCTCTTATATAATAAATCTTATAATAAGTTTGTATAAATACTTTTTTTTTTTTTTTGGAAATGGAACTTCTCTAACGAGGGTTCCGGGCCAGCTTTCACGTACCAATTAACCCCCCGCTGCAAACATAAAGCATGTAAACATCTTTTAAAAGTTCTATATTCTGAATTATCTCTATGAATAAAATTAAATATAATATATTGTTTAATGTTATATATATACATAAATATATATATATATATATATATATATATATATATATATATATATATATATATATATATATATATATATATATTGTTATGCTTAAATAATTTTAAAAAATTTATTTGATTAATATTTTAAATTACATCATTGTAATTATTTAAAATATCAAATAATGTTTTTGTTTTTAAATGCAAAAATATAATTTTTGTATATAATATTACTTTTAACTATTGTTGTTGTACGTTACATAAAATAACGTATTTTATAACTCTCACTTATTTAAATTTAGTTTCAGAAATTTAACTTTTAAAAAATTATCTGATGAGTATTATTAGTTTCTTTAATTATAATTATTTAAAACAATAAACATTGTTTTTGTTTTTAAATACAACATTATAATTTTTTATATTGTATTACTTTTAACTATTTTTATTGTAAGTAATATTTAAGCTATTTATTTGAAAATTTATAATGATTATAAAAAAGAGTTTCATGGTTATTTGTAAAAATATAGGAGACAATTTAGGTTGAACGCTATAATTTAGAACCTTTGATTGTTTACAAAATTATCTCTCAAATTTGTTTTTCAAGTTTAGTTGAAATACTGGTTTAAGTTAACTGTTTAATATTATATTGAAATTAATAATTTAACTATTTTGTATAAAATAATAAAGACAAAATTTCACAATTGGTCCCTGTGGTTTATAAAATATCACACTTTGAGAACTTCCTAGCAAAAGTCACGCCACTGGTCTTTATGGTTTCAGTTCATTGCGCGATTGATCCTTGACCCTTACTCCGTCACTTTTGTACTGTTAGTGCAGGGGTATTTTTTTCATTTCGTTTATCAGACTAGCACGACAAAATCTTGCCATGCACTGAATAAACAAACATGTAAGAATTCAGGAATTCTAATTCTCCATTAAAATTTGAAAATTTAATGAAGCTACCTTAGTGTTCCTGAATTCAGATGTTTTTGATTTTGTGGATTCCTATTCATGGTTTGTCTTTGAACATAGCTTGGCATACGAAGCAAAGTTACTGGTAAATTTGAGACTTCACGACCACAAGCATCACAAATTTTGTTCCCTTTAACACTAAACCCTCTAATTACACATTCTTCATGACAAGTCTAAGCACACGTTTTCAACTGCATTCCAACTTCAACTGGTTACCTTTATCGCATGAATCAAAGCAGATTCAACTAATCGCTTCTTCCTCATCAATAGCTTCATCGTTCTCCACTTCAATAGAACTGATTTGATCTTCATTTGAACAAAATCGTTTCAATAAAATTGGAATATGAAAATTAAATCGCAAGTGTATATAATAAAAAAAATGTACCATTAACACTCTTGACTTGGTCATTATCCTTACGTGCTGCAAAAAATTGATCTTACGATAACAATGTTTCGCCCAGGTAAACACTGCGACCATGAAACCAAAGCTTGAATCTCCCCAATTTGCACACAATTTTATTGATGTATGATTGTAAACCCGTAACATCCAAAAATTTAAGCAAAATTTTTAGCTTTTTCATCCATTAAAAACCAAATAGTATTGTACAAATTGTTTTCAAAATATTATTCATCAAAGTGTCCCAAAAACAAAATCATAAGGATGAGGAGTGGTATGGTCACACCTTTGCCTTGCCACGATCTCCTGATGTACCCGAAATAATAAACTGAAACTGTAAGCCCGAGAGCTTAGTGAGTTACCCCCAAAATACCAATACTACACCGATAATACCATATCAATAACAGATAACAACAACATGTATACTTGACTTTTAGCCTAACTGGACCGCCTTGCAAGGCCTACAATCTATCTGGATCTATCCCGAGCCTTCGGTATAACTGGACTGTCATGCAGGGACCCACAGTCTATCCGGACCACTCGTCGGGTGTGTTGCCCTTTAGTACAAAGCAGGACCGCCTAAACCCAACCATTAAACAAATAACCATGTGCACATAAATAACATATAATGGCATATATATATATATATATATATATATATATATATATATATATATCAATATCAGATATAACTATCTCACATATCATCTATCATAGAAATCACTTATCGCCAGAATGCCGACCTAACTAGGTCACTAACATACCGATCCTAATGAATCATAAAGCATAACAACATCCCATCTATCTGGATACCGATATAACAGATCATAACCACATACAACATACTATAATCAGAATAACAACCTAAAGGACCGACCTTGGTGCCTTAGACCCTAGTGATATAGTGAGGATAACTCACGTCACTAGCAGCTCGAAATAATACTGACTACACCTCCAGATATAGATTCAACCACCTCACCTGTACCCATAAGTGGTCCATTCAATAATTACTCAAATTATCAAAAATCCCTTGGAAGGCATAAGACACTCCCTATTCAAAGTCAAAGTCACTGCTCGATGGTCAACAATCCATGTTGCCCTATTTGTTGAGTGCAACTTTCCCTCCATCGAGTCCCTACTGATTGAAGAGTAACTCGGCTCAACGCGTCGAGTTTCTAACAGACTCGCCGAGTCAATACGCGACACATTGATTGGAAACCCAAACTGACTCGTTGAGTTATCTCCCAGACTTGCTGAGTCCACGCAGGACCAATTCGGACAAAACCCCTTCTTGACTCGCCAAGTTATCTCCCAGACTCACCGAGTCTATAGGAATACTCCCATAATCAAGCAATTCTGAACTATTCCTCCGATTGAAACAGTAGATCTAGGTCCTTAGAGTACCTTACAATGTAAAGTTGCTACCTTTACGTATTTGCATGCCTCAAAATTCGAATCCAAGCTTGGAATGAAGCTATACTCATAAGGAAGGGTTCTTTCATAACAATACTGAGAGCTTTATGAACTTAGGACCCAAGGGAGGTTTAGATCTGAAGTTTCAACTTCAGATCTAGCTCCCACACGATAATCTCTTCATAAATAAGCTAAAGAAACCCTAAACTTTACACAAGAGAGATTCTAGGAGGAAAGAGATCAAGGTAGTTAGCTGGTTACCTCTAAAATGTGCCCAAACTGGAGTAGACTCTGGATCCACACAAATTTCCTTGATGCTTGCCTCTTGGTCTACAAATTTCCTTCACTAAATCACTTTCCAAAGCTCTAAAACACTCTCAAGGCTCACACACATGAAAATTAGGGTTTCTGGCTTTCAAAGGGGTGATAAAAGACAATAAGAGGCGCTAATGATCCAATATATAAGGTGCAAAACCCCTGAAATTTAGGGTTACCCCTGCCAGCTCATACTCGTTGAGTCCCCTTCCCGACTCACCGAGTTAAATCATTAAATAACGTGTCCCATCCCGCTGCTACTCGACAAGTCATAGCATTAACTCGTCAAGTAGGCCTTAAAACATGAAGCCTGAATTGAATAATAATGATACCTAATAGTTGGGACGTTACAATTCTCCCCTACTTATTTTAGACTTCGTCATCAAAGTTTGATGTGGTGAATAATTCCAGGTAATGCTCTCGCATCTCAGCCTCCAGCTCCTATGTCCACTCAGATCCCCTCTGATGTTCCCATTGTACCTTCACCAACGGGACCTCCTTGTTTCGCAAAACTTTCACTTTCCTTTCGAAAATAACCATTGGCCTCTCAACGTAATTTAGGCACTCATCAATTTGAATGTAATCCAATGATACCAATGCCTTCGAGTCCATAATGCACTTTCGCAATTGCGAAACATGAAAGGTGTTGTGAATCTGACTGAGCTCATCCGGTAATTCCAAACTGTATGCCACTTTACCAATCCTGGCAGCGACCCTGAACGATCCAATATAGCGGGGACCCAACTTTCCCCTTTTTCTGAAACAAATCACGCCCTTCCATGGTGATACCTTCAAGAGCACCATGTCATCGACCTGGAACTCCAAATCCGATCGGCGTCTGTCAGTGTAACTCTTTTGCCGACTCTTAGCGGTCTGCAGTTTCTGTCTAATCTGCTGAATCTTTTCGGTAGTCAGCAAAACTACCTCCGTCCGACCCATTACCATGTGTCCAACCTCACCCCAACATATCGGGGTTCTACATCTCCGACCATACAACAACTCAAAAGGCGGAGCGCCATACTGGAATGATAGCTGTTTTTGCTAGCAAATTCTGCAAGAGGTAGGTGGGAATCCAAAATCCTTCCAAAATCAATAACACACGCCCTCAACATATCCTCGAGGGTCTAAAGGGTCCGCTCACTCTGCCCATCGGTCTGAGGATGAAACGTTGTACTAAAGTGCAGTCGCGTGCCCAGTTCCTCGTGGAACTTTTGCTAGAAACAGGAAGTAAAATTAACATCCCAGTCGGAAACAATGGAAACTAGTATCCCGTGCCGAGCAACGATCTCACGAACATACACATCGGCCAATTTCTCGGCCGAAGAACTTTCCCAAATAGCCACGAAGTGAGCACTCTTGGTCAATCAATCAACAATAACCTATATAGCATCAAATCCCTTCGCCGTCTTCGGCAA